TCCCTTTGTACACTATATACACACAAGTTATGTATATATCGTAATACCCGGTAATAAGTCATTGTCTTTAATAGTATAGTCACTCATAAATCATAATTATCTCTTTTAGTCTCTCTCTCTCTCTCTCTCTCTCTCTCTAATAGTGTACACAATATTTAATGTAATAATAAGTATATTAATAGCATTTCGGGTCCATTTGTTTTACAACATATAAACCCAAACAAAATATCCATTAATCCCAAGTTTGTGGATGTGTTTAGAGTACTATCCGGTTATATGTTGTGTATAGTGTAAACACAAAATCATTATGTTTGTTTTCAAAATTGTTGTACATTGTATGAGGGTAGTGTTTTAGTTTGTGTTTTTATACAAAATTTAATGTGTTTTTCATGAGTTTTCAATAAAATGATCAATATTGTTTTAGATGTTACTATTTCATTGTTTTTGTTAAGACAAAATAAAAATATATATAATTTTTTGTGTTTGTTTAAAATTTTTGCAAGCTCTCTCTCTCTCTCTCTCTCTCTCTCTCTCTCTCTCTCAACAAAACCTTAAAATCTAATACAATTTCTATAGCATATTATTGATCAAACCAACTAATCTACTATGTATTCAACCATGGCAATATTTATTTATTTAATCCACAGAAATAAACTAAAATTTATAATAAATAATATGGTTTAATATAATTTAAATAAACAATTATATATTTATTAAAATTATGTAATCATCATTAAGTATACAACGTTTTGTCACTACAAACATGTTTATGTATTAATTTAGCTATATTTATTTTGTAAAATGTACAGTATAAGTTACAATGATATAAATATAATAATAAGCATCTTAGCATCTAAAATGATTTTATAATTAAATTTAAAAAATACAATTAAAATTTAAAACTTTAACTTTAAATAAATAAGTTTGTAAAAAGTTTTATAATGTAAAATTTAAATTGTAAAATATAATTTATTAATGTGTTAAAACATGAGTCAATCATTGCAAAGCACACGATCAAAAATTATCTACTTATCATAAGTAACTTATGAGTATACCAAATATGGTAAATTAAATAAATATATAACCATTACAAATAATAAACATTTAATTACATGCCCCTGACGTATATGACTGCATTAAAATAATAGTAATCATGATCATTAATATTAGTTGCTAATTAATAATACATAACAGTATTTGTGTGCGAAATATTAATTAGTGATTAAACGTGTATTTTCCAAACGAGTCATACATTACTTATTAAACACTTATAATTGGTTTTATTGTTTGATATCTGAATTGAGACACAAAAAAATTGTCACTAAATGTGATCCAAAAGTCTTATTCACACGAATACCAGCCATCGGGACATCTGTTTGTCCGACGAGACGAGCCGTGAGTTAAGGCCAACCCAACGGTCGGACAGGGATTGAACTCATGGTCGACATCAATGACCATCAGTTGTGATCAAAGACATCAACAGCTAATCAGTGGTGAATGGCGTACAAAATGATTGTCTGTGTCTGTGTTATCACCGCTGGAACCGCTGTAAGTATTATAATGTTTTTATCCTATCCTATGATTACAACCTCAAGACTATTCACTTTGAAGTGAACTCAAGCCATGACTTTCCGCCACAACCGCCACAAAACACCGCCGAAGACATCATTAGATGTAATAAACGAGCCGTCAGTCAAACCCAACCGACCGGCCATTGACTTAGCATCGGATCCGTCGCTAAACAATATATTGAACACCGGTTTCAGTGGACTATCAAAATAAAAACCATTGAATTAACGCATGGATTAGTGGCCGAAAGATCCAATGGTCAGAGCATTGGTATTACATTTGGTGATAAATGGGAGGCAAACCATTGCAAGACATTAGTAATGATCAGAAGACTTGACTTATGCGAACAGTTGTCTAAACGCAAGCCATCGCCAGACCTGCCATTAGATACTGGACTCGAGACTCAATTGTAAGTCACGAATAGATATAGAGTTTTAAAACAATGCAATTGAATACTGATTTGAATCCTCACATCCCATGACTACAGGCCTCGCGAAGCCATTACCGGGTATATCGGGTCAAAAAGTACGGGCCATACGTGTGGCCACACATGAGTGAGCGCCTGAACAAAAGGGTGTTTTTGTTAGTCGTGGGTATAGTAGCCGCACACAGTTGTCGCGTCCATTACCGGTGGACACGGGCCGCATCAAACAACCGCCCCTCGGGGTTCTTGTCCCTGGGCCGACCCCGTACGACAACTGGTAGACCACTGGCCATCACGTGTTGTGGTTTATCCGAAAGGTGGCTAGTTGACCTAGCTGGTTAGTAGGCTATGGACCTTTCACGTGATTGGCTGGGGGTTTGCGAGTGCGGCCATAGAGTGGCCATCACTGACCATAACATCGGCGGCAGTTATATTCACCGGCGATGAGAGGGCTATTGAGATGACAGCCAATTATGGTTTGAGAAGTGAGTTAACAATGACTTTGTATGTGAGTCTAAATGTTTAATTTAGTTGTGTTTAAAGGATCCGATGGTCAGAGCATTGGTTTTGTCAGAGCATCGATGATAAATTAAAGGCATTGTTAAACAATATACTGAACACCCGTTTCAGTCCACTATCAAAAGCATTGAATCATTGGATTCATCACTCAATCAACTGTTACTCGATATCCGCTACAGAAGAAGACACACATCTCAAGAGGCTTCGCCGTTAAAGTCAACACAACTGAAGACATTATCAAAAGAGTGGATGTATTGGATGTGATTCACGAACACAAGGATGAAGAACAGCTTATTTATTAATTTTATAGTAATTTTTGTTTAATTTTTGTATTATTTTTTGTACCATTTTTTGTATTGTTTTGTGTTTATTATTTTGCTGTATTTGTTGTGAGTTTTTCCTCTCGTTTAGCGATTGTCTGTGTCTTCATTTAATCCATGGTTTGCCGTCGTATTCACCAATTGATTCACGTTTTCGTCGTATTCATCCATTGTTTGCATCTTTTGTTATGTATTTTATGTCCATTTTATCTCATTATTCAACCAAATCTGGCATTTGATGATCTGTTCACACATGACGTCCATCTAATTTGTATGCCTTGTTATGGATTTGATCCAACGGTTGACGTAATGCTTGAAAAGTCAGTGTTTATCATGTAATCCGATAAATCATTCATACGTTCATTGGTTTTCATCCATTGTTTGCATCACTTGTTGTTGTGTTTTATCTGTTTTTTCGTTTCATTTGTCTATCATTTGATGGACTCTTCGCTCGCGTGTGTATTGAATGGTTAAGAGCTATATAATGGGCCAATGGTTGTGGTCAGCGGTTCCGCCGCCTACCGGATCACCCGTACTGTTCAACGCATATCCAGTAATGTGTGTTCACACGGACTGCAAGTCCTGTTGATCCGGTACTTGTGTCGCACGCGAGGAATGGGTTCATTATCTATCGGTACAATTGGTTGACTACACTGCCGGCGCGTACTGTAAGGCCTGTACGGTATGGTGTGTACGGTATGGCCACCGCAGTCCTGTTCCCACATATCACTCGACAACACGTACCGACGACACCTCCGTCTATACACTAACGGGTTTCCAACTCGTGGGAAATGGTATGCATTTTAGTGTAGACCTCCTGCCCGACACCGGGAGGTTGTGTTTGTATAGGAACTGGAGATCCAGCAAATAGGGGGCCAATTGCGCGATTAGGGCCACGCATTTTGCCCATTGATTTATGGGAATCGACCGCATTTTTGGCCACATGCTCCTTGGTCAGTTAGAACTGAGCTCTGCTCGGGTCGGCACCTTTGGGTAAATTGGTTTTTAATCTGGTCTACATTAGCCCAGGTATGCGCTATCCCGGTGTCCACCTGGCCTATAATGGTGGCAACTGTTTGTGTGTAGTTTACCGGTCAGACCGTCAGTCGGTCTTAATTTGGGTTCAGAAGCGGTGTTAAAACCGTCGATTACTTTGCCTTTAAGTGTGTGTATGTTTGTGTCAGGTCGGTTTTGCCACAGCTGATTACCTGGCTAAATTATATGTGGGAAACAGTTTTACAATTAAATAAACAAGATTTAAATGGCCAATATTTTAAGGCACAATTCCCATACTGATAAGTGTGTTCATGATAAAAAAAATACATGTACTGTATATCGAGACGTATATTGATTCTATGTTAAAATAATGTTATGTATTGACAGTCAATGATAAGGTAGAACACTGCAAATGTAAGGACAGTTGTATTTAATGTCAGAACAGTTGTATTTAACATAAGGACAGTTGTCCTCACATGCAATCATGTTTACCTGTAATCCATTAATTTAATGCAATTTTTTAAAAATTATAACTATAAATTATTATGATATAATAAAAATTTGTGTCGCGTTGTTATAATTTATGTAATTTTATTATGTAAATTGTTTCAAATAAATAATTTTAATATAATTGTTTTAAAATATTCTTTACTTTTAACCATATTATATGTCTTTATATGTTTTATACAATAATAATAATGTTATCTCACGTTAGAGATATGGATTAAAATTACATTAAATGTCGAGTTAGGTACGGTTTGATAACAAAATCCACTTAAGCAACTTGGTAATGATTGACATTATCATGATTGATAATACTTATCTATACCAATTTGCAAAAGCACCTAATAGTATAAATAGGGAGACAAATAAATGCAATAACCAAACCTGAAAACAATTCATATTATATTTATACAATAAAATTTTAAAAACAATTTTTGTTGTTTAAATAATTGGTTACTTTTCCAAATGGGTAAGTTTAGAATAAAAATTACATACAATGTATAAATAAGCTAAAAATATATACTAACAAATTAAATAAAATTCCCATCAAGCTCACTATCATCTAACCTACGCGTTATGCGCTGTACTAATGTTATCGGTGGGCGAGTCATTGGCCCAATCATGCCCGGAGCCGAGCGCCATCGCACCATGCACATGTTTCCGGGAAGTTGCGCCACCCGTCGGATTCAACGTCTATATATACTGCGAGGGCAGCGACCCATTGGACCTGAAAGCCATGTTTCACCGGCTAAGCCCCGGCACCGGTCGTGGTTACTACCGGTTCCGGTTAACCAACACAGCGATCGACACATTGCCGGCCGATCTGTTTGGCACCATTAAGTTTCATGAGATCGAGGTAATCGGCGCCCATAGCCTACAACGGGTACACTCGCGGGCATTGGCCGGTCAGTCACTGCAGAGAGTGTACATCAGCGACGCGCCTATAGCAGCGCCTGAGGGCGAGTATGATTTGTTCAAAGCCCTGGCGCCGGCTATTGGCGACCTCTACGAGCTAACACTTGTTAACACTAGCTTAACTGCTATACCTGCCAAAGCTCTACACTCGGCCCCTAAGCTTCACAAAGTGACAATTATTAACAATAAGGCACTGACTAGTTTGGGCACCGGTGCGCTCAACCTCACTGGTCAGCTCCTGTCCGTAAACCTGCAAAATAATAGTATATTTAATGTGTCGGCCGATGCCATAAGACTGGCGCCCACTTTTTTGGCTGAGCTTAACGTTAACGGCAATCCGTTGTCCGTACGGCCGCTGAGCGGTCAGACATTTGCCGGCATTAGTAAAGGCAGTGACGCCTCGCTGTACACCTATGGCGACGGCTTTCGGTACGTGAATCGTACGGTATTCGAGCCGTACCTGAGCTCCAGTACTAAACATCGGCTCTATTCGGACACCGACTGCGCCGACACTCGTAATGATTGGTTGCGCCAGAAATACGCCAAACAATGGTTTGATAGGAATTGTTAATTAATTGTATGATTAGTAAAATTATTTATCTTATGTTAATTGTGATGGATTTTATTTTTATATAAGTTAATTTATTATTCATAAATAATGTCTTAAAATAAACTTAATGTCCAACGCTTATTATAATAAATTAATAATATTGAACTTACTATAAGTTGCAATAAATTAAATAAATTAAAATAAGAATTATTTAAATGAATAAATACTTCTGATATTAATAATTTAACTTGTTGGTATAAATAAATACAATATTACAGCTTATATGACCTTTTAAAAATATTTGTTTAAGTTATGTTAAATTTATAATTGTAACAGATTATAAATTACAAATAATTTTATATCCAAATATTTAATACATTACTATAATTAAATTATACCAAACAAACCAAATTGAAATTTAAAATATTATAAATCAATGTTTATTTTGTAAGCTGAATAATATTATTATTTATATATCATTTTTATAAATTAGTCACATGTTGGAAAAAATTGGACAAGCTGCTACACGCTCTAACGCCAAATACCAACGCTGCCTCACGCTCTAACGCCAAATACCAACGCTGCCTCACGCTCTAACGCCAAATACCAACGCTGCCTCACCCTCTAACGCCAAATACCAACGCTGCCTCACGCTATAGTACTTAACATTAACGCTACCTCCCGTTCTGAAGACAAATACCAACGCTGCCACACTATATAAAGAGAAATACCAACGCTGCCTCACCCTCTGAGGCCAAATACCAACGCTGCCTCACGCTCTAACGCCAAATACCAACGCTGCCTCACG